ATTATCAAAAGTGTAAAATAATTTATTTGTTTTCTATTTCTATTTATGCATAAAAAATTTTGACAATATAACTTTTTTCCTTCTTCTTTGGATGTGACTTTGTAGTTGTTGAGACAAAGCCACTATAATCAATTTCATACTTAGAATTAACACTATCAGTGAAATTTGATAAATAGATATAGCAACTTTTTAAGCATTAAAATCTCTTATCAATAATTATTGCAAGCCATTAGTTTTTGATGATTATTTTTCCTTTTTTTTATTTATAACTTTCAATGATTTGAAGTTTTATTTGTAGGATGATTGGTGTTTAATTCCCTGGATTTGAATCTTTATTTTTTATTTTTTATTTTGATATATTGTTAAAGGTATTATGTATACATATTTAATGTGAAGCATTTATTTGATAATATTATTTAATAATAAGTTAAACTTTAAAATTGTCAATAAATTAATATTTACAATTGCATTTATCAACTAACTGCGCAACACACGAGCACGTATACTAGTTGTTTAAAATTGAAAAGGAGTTCAATTTTTACAGCAAAGTTGGAAAGCGAAAATAATTTTCACTCTTATATAATATTTTAAAATTGTGTGCGCCTAGCACAAAGCGAACAATACTAGCAAATTAAAAGATTCAACGATTTTCCCTTCTTGGTGCGGATTTTAGAGATCTAAATTGCCATATGCGGTAGACCCCTTCTCCCCCCCCAAAAAAAAAGAATTTGGAAGATAATTTAATATTCATAAAGATATAAAACCTTAACTTAATCAGGAGCGGACACACCCTATATGCGTGTCCTTCGACATTGCTTCGTTGATTTATTTTATATATATATAAATGCTTGGTTACCATTTTACCCCTATTCTAAATTAAAATGTTATAAATTATTTAATTAATTAAACATTAGATGATAAAAACATAATGAATTTGAAGAACTTGAAATTAATAACAAAGCTTTATGTTAAATATAATCTGATCACTTGCATTGAATTGAGTAATAATCGGAAGAATTGTTTCATCTGCCAAATAATTAGTGCATGTTGTAATTATGATCTGTTTTGATCCTTTGAGATTCCATTGTTAATAAGTAATACTTAAGTATAGACTTCTCATTTTTACTACACCTTATAAAAGCTCACAACAATTATAAGTTGCATACAAAATCTAAAGTTTGTGGATTGTGAAAGAAAATAATTGGGGAGAAAAGAAAAAAGAATTCTCAAGGCATGGAGAAAAATACATTTCTTCACTGTTACTATTTAGGAGTCAACTTACAAAGATGGATATTGCCCGTCAGAGATTGATTGCAAATCAACTTCAGAAGAGAAGAAAATGAAAAAAGAGAAAATAAGTAATTTTAAAGGTGTAAAAAGAAATCATATTTGAAAGAGTATGATATAAGATATATTGGCTCTAAATAATGAATTTACTTATTTTCAGATGCCTCACACACTTGATTTCTTTCTCTACCACACTATTTTTATCATTAATAATTTTATTCATTTACAATTTTGAACAACTTATAATGACATTGTGGAATTTAAACCACTATTATGAGCCATTAGAACAATTGATATGATATCCAATTTGCTATTCTTCTTCTCTCACTTTTATATTTAATTCAATGTACTTTCCTTTTCGTTCTATAAACTTTCTTTAAATGTATCTTCTTATATTATTTTCTTTTTTATTGTTAAAATATTGAGAAATGATACAAATGTGGCAAACAATATATTTGGAGATGAAATTACACGAAGAGATATCATTTACAAAGGTGCTATGAGATTAGGAACATGAGGAATTTTATCTTTAGCTATATATTGATATTTTTTTAATTTAAGAAACTGTTATTGAATTATGTATAAGATAAAAGTTTGTTATTTTTAAATAATATGAATTTATAAGAATTAATATGGAATACACGTGCAACGAACGTGTCCAGGTATACATATATACACATAAACATAATAATAATAATTTAAAGTTGCCTTTTTATTCTATTTTATATAAATTTTGTACCTTTTTGTAAGAAAAAAACTCAAAATTTAAATTAAAAATAAAGAAAGAGAACCTATTTTACTTTTTATCAAAAATATTTTTAGAATTTTGAAATAAACAATTCAAATATTCATATTGATAAATAAAGTTTTTACAACCATATCAAGATAATATATTATAAACAAATAGCTAACATCTTATTAATTAAAATTAATTTAAAAGTTTAAGAGGGTGTTTGGATTAACTTTTTAAAAGTATCTTATAAGCTAAAAGCTAAACTCATAAGTTGGGAATACCTACCTTTGGCCTTTAGCTTATTTTTATACTTCTTTTGGGTCTAAAAATAAGTGTTTAAAAATATTTTTTGATCTGTTTCAAACACCACAAAAATTAGAAAAGAAACGTAAAAACCAAAAGCACTTGCAATAACCCATAACCAATTCGAGATATACTTGAACTCCTGATAAACTAATTATTGCCCATTTTGCTGGAGACTCTTGGTGAAAGAGAAAGTTTTACCAAAAACTCTAAATCGTCTCTTGATGAAGAATTGAAAAAGAATTCATCAAAGTAGAATCTTTGACCTGTCTTCACTATCTGCTTTTGTATCACTGCAAAAAAATTGACAACAAAAAGGCACACATCTTCAGTATAAAATTCGTGTGATGATATTATAAAGTATAAAATATCAGTACACTCTTTGTTATGCAATTCAAAGACATGATTTTTCTGTATCCTGTTTAGTCAACCCGATAACAAAAACATTTAGTTTTCATGTTCCTTGTTCGTTCTACCCGTAAGATATAATATTTGTTGCATAAGTAAATCAGATTTAACATATTTCTATGTTGTTGGAAGTTTTATCTACAAGTGTATAATAATATTTCTAAATCAAAAATATAAATAGATGTTGAATCACTCATTGTGTTATAAACCAACTAAAGAATGCAATAGGAGATGATCTACTTTTTTCACCAAACATCCAACAAAACACAAACATAGAAACAACGTAAATTTCTCTCTAATAAAATGTCTTTCAAAACTTACGAGTTACATATTGCCATTGGGTCCCAGACTTCTTATTCTTATTTGATTCATGGCTTTCAAACCTATGAGGTTTAATAAGTTGTAAACACTCTTTTATCAAGAAAATTTGTAGTATCAGTGATTCTTACCAACTCAAAACTTAGTTGATGATGACTTGAACTTCTTATTTTTAGTAGCATGGATAACAAGTAATATTAGATCAATTCTAAAAAATATATTCATTTAATACGTAGTTTTACAAAATAAACCATGACGTGCACCATACTTATCTACTATGGTCTTGTTTGTGTCATATTAGCCTTGCTGCCTTGCTATGTGTGATACTATGTAATCTCTCTCTTTTCCTTTGTTTTTGGTTGCTTTGATTTTTTTACCTTATTTGAAGTTTATTTTCATAAAAGAAAAGTCAAAGTATTAACATAAATGCTTGAATTTTTTCTGAAAAAAAAATATAATTATTTTCCATATTTGGTTTATTCTAAACGTCCTATAAATAGAAAACCCAACTTCTCACACTATGAACATAATAACATCCACAATATAATCGTTCAGATAGTCTTTACTCTCTACAGTTTTGTTGGAACTCATGATCACCGACTGGCAGTACCAAGAATGAAGAAGATGAGCTTTATTCGGACACGGGTTGAGAGCCTTATTCTAGAATGCACGTCTCTTGGGGCTGATATTTTATCTTTGGGTTTCATCCCATCTGAAGCACACAAATGCCATTTCAGCAGCCCATTTCAATATACAACGTTGCTTATATTAATTCACATTGTATAAGAAGAGATTTTTTAGATTATTTTAGAATATGATGAGCTGTAAAGTATATAGTCAGAGTTGGTTACCTACTTCCTTTTAAATTGACTTTCTAGTCCTTAGTTTACATGGATAAGTAAGCAACTCTTTGTACAATTTTGGTTCAGTGAAAATAGAGAAAAATTTCCCAAATAATTCTTCAAGATTTCTTTGAAATCTTTCAAGTTTTAATGTCTTTTTATTAGTTTTTAAATATGTAGGTCATTTGGTCAAATCATATAATAATATTTTGATTTTTAGTACAAGTTTTTGTTATCTGATTTATTAACATATAATATGCAATTGTAAGCTAGCGCATGACGCCCTAATCTCTTTCGAACTCAACACAAATGCTTTGTTTATTCACATAAACTTGAATGGAAAATTTACAGGGACGGTTCGTGTCGAAGGTGGTCCAATATAATCAAAGATAATAGATGAGTGGAGACTCGTGTCCATATATGAGCCAGATTAGTTAATTGTGTGTCAGTCTCAATCCGCAAAGAGCAGTAATTTATATCCATTGCGAGCAGTGGAGATTAGTGATGTATCAGACCATATGGTATTAAGATGAAAGCAACTTTCCCTTCTCAATTCGAGCAGAGAGACCTACGAAACTTTTCGCTTCCCAAATAACCCGCTACTAATTTATTTGAGTGACGATTTGTTGCCTTTTCTTGAGAGCTTGAGGGGAAAGGCTCCCGGGATTATAATTCACTAGTATAGTTTTCCAGAAATTCCGATTTCTCAATACAGAAAGTTCAATAATTGTGTCATCTCTTGCTTTCCGTCTTGGTATCTAGAGTAAAAAGAACAACATTGTAGCAGCCTAGGCATATACCACATCAACAAAACGCAAGAACGATATTGATTGTTGGAATAAAAAGAAGTGACATTAGACCCAAATGAGGCATTTTAAAGTCGAAGGAGCATAGGACCCAAAGTAAACAATACAAGCTATTACATACATAGTTCAATAGCTTTCACTTCTTGACTTGAACAGAGAGACCTTCGAAACTTTTCACTTCCCAAATGAGCACCGAGCCTTGTCAAAATCCTAACAATGAAAAAGTAATATCTTTCCTTATAATCTATGACCATAATGTCAATATCTCTCTTGTGTGTTACTTAAAAACTTTTTATCATGTACCTTTGGGTTCCATCAGAGCTGTACGTCCCATTTGCAGCAAGTCTGATGATAAGCACAACATAATTTATATTTTGAAAAGAATATTAAACATCATTAATATCAAAGATATACATCATTCTAATGATCACACAGATTTATGTTTAAACAGTTTAAAGCATAAACTTAATATTTACAGTCAGCGACAAAACTGCGAAACTATGTTTATTCACTTACACTTTGCTGTCAGACCACATTGTAGCAACGGTCTATTCAATAGAGAATTGCAGCAGAACTTTCCTGGTACAAACTGAGCTAGAGCGGTAATAGCTTACATATACTGTTACCAAAATCCTGACAAAGAAAAAAACTGCTAAGTTGATATCCAATAATCATTAATAAAAACTTGAATAGTGCTGATGTTTATAGGTATTAAATTTATTGGGAGGCAAACTTTTATATATTTTTGATAGATAGGAAACAAACCTTGTGTATTGTACACCTTTGAATTCTATTAAAGCTTTGAATTCAATAGTGAACATGTGCATAACTCTAAACTCACTGAAACGGAAAGAACAAGATTTTGTGGAGCAGATTATTTTAATTCCTATGTATATTAGATTTCATTTTACAGTGTTCCCACACGAATATAAAGATTTTTTCACCTTTGTTTTTTTATTGGTTATCTAAAATTAAATTTATCTCGAACTGAAGATGATTTCTCGACTTCATAGTGGCAATAAATACTCCATACTGCTCAAGAAGATCTTAACAAAGGAAAAGCAAAGGGAAGTAAACAAAAATAGAAAGCTTCTGAGGACAAAGAAAAACTTACATTTGTGAGAGCATCATTCGCTTTAATCATTAAATGTATTCTCCATCGACTTCTATGGTGGAGATATTTCAGTCTACAAGATGTGAGAGAGAACATATGTTAATAGACAAGAAAAGTGTGTCGTAATAGCCAACTAAGATGAAGACTGATATTTGTCACAAGATCATAAATGAATTGCTATAAACATCCTGCTGATACATATTAAACAATCAACTTTCTGGAGCAAATTATCTCAATTCCTACCTATACTAGACTAGTTCTGAAAACGTGCGCTGCACGTTTGTCTTCTATTATGATCTAAAATTTATATAAGTCTAATATCATGTCGATATAAATATTTATCACATTATATTTTTATAAATATGATAAATCTTGTATTGATTAATATGTTTCTATATAAAGCTTACTTTTGCATCCAAAAATAAATGAAAAGAAGGATTTCAAATATAATCTTCTAGACTAAAATATCTAAATATATGTTTCTCTATACAAATACAAGGGTGACAACTAACTCTTTTCATTTAACTTTTAGTTATTTGTTTTGGAAAATAAGATATGTTGAATTATGTAACACTAATTAAAATAATATAGCATCTGATGGTATATGACATATCAAGGAACTCTTGCTCTAAATTTAAGAAGTGTACCTAAACATTACTAACATGGATTCAATAAAACATTAGGTAATCAACATACTTAGATATGACCATTATTATCTATAATAATTTTCTTCCAAAGATTGTAGCTAGCTACGTATGATATGAAACACGAAAAACTAAGCTCTAATAAAATAAGAGGAATAAATTTAATGAAAGAATGATAAATGTAGCACCTTTTCGATGATCAACTTACATAACATAATTAAGTGAAATGACAAAGAAAGGAAGAAGAGAGTTTCCATCTCACTTACCCAAAGTATGTAAATCAGTAAAAACTTGCTGAATTCCTTCAATAATTGCCTAAAAATTAAATATTAAAAAAATCAGTTTTCAAAACATGAAAATGTAGTAGTTACTTATTATGCTTGTTAGAAGGCCATCTTTATAAAAAGATGAATTTCAACCTCCGCAAAGATTTTAAACATCCGTTCCCATCACATTGCAAGCTCTGTATGAAGTTTTAGAATGTATATGTACATTTTTCTCCTGTAAAAAATAAAAGAATATAATGAAAGTGATTTGTGATAACTAATGTATTTAGAGTGAAATGAAAAGTTTGTTTAACAATCATGCATTTTTGCTATATAACCATTGAGTGACCTCTTTGCTATACAAATATAATATTGACTCGGATAGAAATTACCCCAACTCTTCATTCTCCTTTTTCATCATTATTATTGTTGGAGCAATAAGTGAACATTTCTCATAATTAATTCTGTGCAACTCTTCATTCACCTTCTTTAATATTATTATTATAGCAATAAGTGAATGTTCATAGGTAATGGGAGAGTAATCTAGATTAGGAAGAAAATCAAAAGCCAAAAATGGATAAAATTAACAAGCAGGTATATACTGATTAGCATTAGTATAATAATATAATAGTATGATATAATTATTATTTAATATTTAATTTATTAATAGCTTATAACATTTTAATTTAATGTAGGGGTAAAACGATTAATCTAACTTTTTCCTAATATTCTTTTAATTTATAGTAGGGGTAAAATCGTAAATCAACTTTTAACTTTTTTGTTCCCACTTATAGCAATATATGATTTTCTTTTACAATGTCTCAATGCAAATATAAAGAGTTTATCCTGATCTATAGCTATTTCCTCGACTTCACGGAAGCAATAGATGCTACACACTGGTCAAAAAGATGTAACAAAGAAAAAGAATTTAACCAAAAATGGAAAGATACTAAGGAAATAGAATAACTTACATCTATCTATCGGAGCACCACTTGTGATAATCATTACAGGTTCTCCCAATCAACATTTATGGTGGAAGTATGAGCAATTTTCGGTGTGGATTGAGCAAAAGACATTCCACACTGCTCAACAGGATATAAAAAAAGAAAAGGAAAAAAATTAGCAAAAAAGAAAAGTGAAGAAAACAAAAATAACAAGTTTCTGAGGGAAAAGAATAACTTACATCAGTGGGAGCACCATTTGTTTTAATCATCACATGCATTCCCTATTGATAAATATGGTGGGAATTTGAGCAATATTTGGCCAGTATTTCCCCTTGTCAAATTCTAGTAGTGGTTTGAGCAATGGGCAGTTGTGAATATATAGATCAGAGAGGGAAGAGAGCATCCCTTTTACTGGAAGGGATTGGAGATTAGGGCAATTATCTATGGTCAGCTGAGAGAGGGAGGAGGGCAGTGCTAATTCGGAGAGTGATTGAAGTTTAGGGCATCTCCGGATGGTCAGCTTAGAGAGGGAGGAGGGCAGTGTTGATTCGGAGAGTGATTGGAGATTAGGGCAATCATCTATGGTCAGCTGAGAGAGGGAGGAGGGCAGTGTTGATTCGGAGAGTGATTGGAGATTAGGGCAATTAAAGATGTGTAGACTTAGAAGTGAAGTGAGGTGGCAAAGATGTAGTGAATGGAGCTCATCATGGTGATATAAATGTAGCTCAGAAAGAGAGGAGGGAAGCCGACCTTCTTCCAGCAGTGACTGAATTTGAGGTAAATCAGCAATAGATAGATATTGAAGAGAGGTGAGGCTTTTGAGAACTTGGCTGCTTAATGTTTTCAGATTCTTCATGGTAAGTCTTTTAATAGAGGAAGGCAACTCCCAATGTTGGATCTCTTCGTCACTTCCATCATGGTAGATGCTTAACTCTGTGAGACATGGGAATCTCTGTAAACACCACTCCTTTCTGCCGTTCACGAGTTTCTTGCAATCACTGATCTTAAGGACTTGTAAATTGAAGAGCTCTATTTCTGGCAGACACTTGAGCTTCTCACAATCCCAAATTTCCAAAGACGTCATCGCAGACTCAACTGCCACCGAAAGTATTTCAAGATTCTTACAACTAAAAATACAGAGACTTTCAGTGGCAGTAGGAATCAAAAACCTAGTAACGTTCTGGCAACTCGAAATAGACAATTTGCGTGCTCTTGGGAGAAACTCATCTATACAATCACAATGTCGGAGTTTCAATTCCTCGAGAAACATATTACAATAACCAACTGGCTCCTCCAATTTCAATTTCTCACACCTATATATGTCTATTATCTTCAAGGAACTGGGCAGTATGCTAAAAGGTAAGGAAGTAAGAGAGTTACAATCACTAATATCTAATTCAACAATCTGCTTCATTCCCTCAAATTGGGATCTAAACAGTTGAGCTTCCTCAAAAAGAGGTGTCTCTGAAATTTTTAATTTTGTCAGAGAACAAAGATTTTCAGGCAACTTCCCCATCAACTTTGGACATTTTTTAATTGAAAGGTACTCAAGTAAAGGGAACTCGCCACTTCCTAGTACGTGCCATTGCTTCCACTCTGGCATATCTGCAAATTCAAGCTTCTCAAGAGAGTTAAAAGGCTTTTTGGAGGATGAATTACCATAGAATTCTTCCATCACCTCTGTTATTCCATGCATCCCTCTAATGTAAAGGAATCTCAAAGAAGGAAGCTGTCCTAGTGCTGGCAAAGAATCACAGTCCTTGCAGTTGCTAAGAGACAATTCTACAAGCTTAAGAAACAAAGGATCAGCTAGCCAATTTGAAATTTTTGTCCCTCTATATCCGGTGATTTGGAGTTGTTTAATATTTGTGTGTGGGTGTAGCTCATCAAGTATCTCTCTTTCAGTTTGAGAATCGGCGGCGGCAGTACTACTTTCACTCCACTTCAATAATAACTTGTCAACATGATTCTTCTCCCTTATCTTTGCCTTGAGAGCTTCCCTTTTATCAACCACATTTTGCAACTCTAAAACTGATAGAGATCCATACAAGTTATGTACTTCACCCAAATCTTCCATTCTCAAATCACCGCTACCACCTATAAGAAACTTGGCTCCCACTAGCATTTGGAGACTTTTCAACTTGCTCAGATGTAGCGGCATCTTGAAGCGAAGAGTGTTGGTTATGTCGAGGTGACGCAAGTTGATCAACTTCTCCATCTGCAGCGGTAGCTCCCCAAGATTTTGACAAGATGACAGGAGAAGTGTTTCCAAGTTATACAATGCACAAATAGAATCTGGCAACTGTCTAATATCTGTCCGAGAAAGGTCCAAAAATCTGAGGAGATTTAATTTGATAAACAAGTCATTTGGCAACTCATCAATATAGTAACGAGACAATGATAATGCCCTTAAGGATGTCAGTCTTGGAAGTATGTTATGCAACACCCTCTTGCTTAGCTGATTAAAGTAACTGTCATTGGTTGGAAGCAATGTCCGCAGCTGCTCTAATTTGGAGAGTGGTTTCAATTTCTCAAAGTCACCAACTTTGGCAGTGGAATAGGACATGTGCCGACTTTGTTCCAACATATAATCAGATCCTTTGCTCTCTTCCAACCTAATACAAAGTTTTGAAGATGCAGTTTGGGCCAAATCATTGATAAGGTCATGCATTATGAATCTCTCCGATAGCCAATCAGACTCTGGGACCCGTTCGAACAATGATCTTGATCTCAACTCGTCAAAGTATTCGTTACCTAAACAAAACTGCTTTACAAGACCATTAGCAATCCACAGGTAAATAACTTGGTTTTTGCGGAATTGATAATCTTTGGGATATATTGAACAAAAAGCAAAACATCGCTTCAAATCTGGAAGAAGATCATTGTAGCTCAACCTCAATGCTGGCAGTATACCATTCAAACGAATTGGCTGCTTCCATATTTCACTTTTTAAAATGTTTCTCCACTTGTCCACCTCTGATTTGCCGCGCAAAACACCAGCAAGTGCCTTTAGAGCTAAAGGCAACCCTTTGCAGTTCACTGCAATTTTTTTCCCAACCTCTTCAAGTTCTGGATGTTCCCTATTTTCTAGTGAATGTCGTTTGAATAAAGCCCAAGGGTCTTCACTAGACAGAGTCCCCACGGTGATTGCGCAACAATCAGCACACATCGTCTGAGCAACACTCTCCTTACGTGTAATTACAATGATCTTACTTCCCATATCTCCTTGTACAAAAACATTTCTCAGGTTATCCCACTCACTATAGTCATCATTCCACACATCATCAAGGACAACAAGAAACTTCTTTCCCTTCAGGCTTTCCTTCAATTTGACCTGTAGCTGATTAAGATTGCCATCATCCTTTGAGTCAAATGAGCCAATTTCTTGAAGTAACCCTTTCGTTATTCTCAAAGCATCATATGGCTCAGAAACACAATACCAAGCTTTCAAACCAAAATGGTTCTTCACCTTCTCATCATTGTAAACCGCTTTAGCTAGTGTTGTCTTACCCGCACCGCCCATTCCAACAATAGGAACTACAGTCAGGTTTCCTCCACTTGCATCTTCAGACAATAAAAGGTCAATCAAATCCTTTATTTCCTTGTGCCTACCAAAGCCAAAGATATCAGAATCATCAACCAAAGAAGTTGAAGGTGTTCTAGTTTCTTGTTTAGTCGAACCAAAATGCTCCTTTAACCCAAGGTCACCAATTTGCTCTTGCAAATCCTTCAATGTTTCAATAGTATCTTCCAACTTCTCCTTAATTTTAAGAAAGAAATCATCACTCAAGCACAGGTTGAGGTCACTTACTTGCTGGTAATTGCTTGTTTCTGCAAGATTTTGATGCGGACCTTCCACCTTGATCCTCAAAGCTTCATAATTGACCTCTTCCATTAAGTTTTCAGCAGAGTCGACAGCATGTCGAAACTCATTAAGCCACTGGCTCACAAATTGATTTGATGTCTGCTTATTCTCTGCATCACTTAGCACAGCTTGAAGACCAATCAAAGTCATCCTCAGCTTCTTTAAGAGCCGAACATCACGCTTGTCCATCTTAAACATGTTGAGCAGATCACCCTCAGGAGCAAGCCTATCAAAGAGAACATTCAAAGCTGAAGAGAGAAATGCTCCACCAACTACCTCCATTTCTGAAATCTGCAAAGCAAAACAAGGAGAACACAAAATGATTTTTTAAGAATTTTGAGAAGATAAATTTTTCAATCTTCAATTACTAACAACTTTACTTTACCTGTTGAATGCTAAGAGTAATTCCCAAACAAGAATGATCACTGATATCTCTCAATCTTTCTCTTTTGCTAGTAAATTTGCAAACAAGAATTTGCAATTAGTACAACTATGTTTGCTAGTGCCTATTCATTACCTTCTCAATTGAATAATTGAAGGTACTTGGGGTCGTATACAGAGGCGGACCCACGCGTTTATGTGAGGATGCATGCACATGCATCCGTCAACTTGATTTACTATGTAAATTTTAACAAATTTATTTTGTTCAATATTTACTTAATAATCCTACTAAATTAAAAAAATAGCTAGACAATAGTAATTTCGAGCAACACGTCTTTCATATATCATATTTGTGTTTATTGTTTTAGCAATTAAGGATAAAATAAAACCTAATTATGGTAGAGATTTTGTTAAGATAAAGTAATTCCCATTTAAGACACTTACTAGTCATTTGGTACAATGTCAGAGAGAAAAAGAAGACAGAGACTTTTTACTCAATAAGAAGACAAAGACTTCAGCTGATTTATTATTTTCTCAATTCAATAATTAAACCAAGAGACTAAAGGTGGGTGTAAAAGGGCCCTTCAAAAATAAAAGAGTTCAAAATGATAAATTTCTGCACAGCTCATTTTATTTACAGTGCTAAAAGAGACTACCATATCATGAATATGTTGAAGTAACGGTGAATTTTGTCTTCGAATAATTTATAGGTCATAAATTCAAACCGTGAAAAATAGATATAAATATTTTTATTAAGTGCTTGAGGTGCATCTTTTTCTCAAATCACACTAACGTGGAATATTTTGTGCATACAGAGCTACCCTTGCTTTATCAATTGTGTATTGAAGCTCAATGTTAATGACAGAGTTCTTTGAAGAAGCACATTAACATTTCTAATACGTGTTTTTGGAGATAATAATAGGCACGTATAATTATTATAATTTATAGTAATAGTGTGTTAGTAGAAGCTACAAATGTTCATTATTTTAACTCAATAGAATTATTAATATTAAGTAAAGATTCAACAAAATAAATATGTTAGAATTTATATACTTCCTCAGACTCGATTTAAGTGTCTTATTTTTCTTTTTTGATATGTCTTAAAAAAGAATATTTCTTTCTATATTTAATAAGTTTTTCAATTCCTACATTCTACCTTATAAGTTTAAAACTATAAAATTTGAAAAACTACACATCTTTAATTTAATTATAAATTTCAAAATTTTCTTTTTATTTTTTAAACTTTGTGCTCAAACAAACTATAATACTTAAATTGAGCGGAGTTAGTACATCCGTTCTGCAACCATGTGCTCTATTCTATAGATTGATTGTTAGGTTAATGTAATGTAGTGGAAAAGGACTAAAGCGTAGGACCAAGACAACACAAGTTGTGTCAAAAGTAAATGATAAAACTTAATTGTCATCAATCAATTTATTTCAGAAACCTACCCCTCTTAACAACACAATCAATATGTATAATTGGTACAATCTACAACTGCCATTCATAGTGGGGGGGGGGGGTGACTATGATTTTTTCTCATTCCAAAAATAAGACTTTTCAAACAACAAGAAAATGATAAATTGAATCAATTCATTACTTTCAACAATTCAATAATTGAAGCAAGAGAAAAATGATAATTTATTAGGGATGTAGAAAGGGGGATCTAGGTGGGGAACTCAAAAATAAAAGAGCTTAAAATGATAGATTTCTACGTAGCTCATTATAGTGTTAAAAAGGACATATCATATCATAAATATGTTCACTTAACATTTTTGAAAAGTTATTTTCTTTTTTAAAAAGAAAAGAAAAAAAAAACTATCATTCTTGAAAATTTGATTATTAGGAATTTTGAATTTAACAGAATTGGATCCCTTATTTAAATGATACTTTACATTCTTGTAAATAATCGCACTTTCTTCCTTACATTTTCTACTTACTAAATTTCTACACAACTCACTTTACTTAAAGTGCTAAAAGGGACTGTCATATCATGAATATGTTGGCATGTAACTTATAGGTAATAGATTCAAGTCGTGAAAAAATGATACTAATTTTTTTATTAAGTATTTTGAGGTGCACCCTTTTTCTCGAACCATACTAACGTGAAATATTTTGTGCACCAAGCTGTCTTTGCCGTGTATTGAAGCTCAATGTTTAGTGACAGAGTTCCCTTGAAGAAGCACATTAACATTTATAATACCTGTTTTTTGGAGATAATAATAGGTGCATATAATTGCTATAGTAAATAAAGTGTTAGCAGAAGTCTACAAACGTTGAATATTTTAACTCAGTAGGATTATTAAGTAAAGATTCAACAAAATAAATTGTTCAAACTTCAAACTTATATTTCTTCGATTTTGATTTAAGTGATTTACTTTTCTTTTTTAATACGTCTCAAAAAGAGTATTTCTTTTTATATTTAATAAGTTTTCCAATTCCTACATTCTAGTAAATGACCACAAAATTTGAAAAACTACACAATTTTAATTTAATCATAAATTTCAGAAGTCTCTTTTATTTTTAAACTTTGTGCTCAAATAAACAGAAAACTTAAATTGAAGGGAGTTAATATATATGTTCTGCAACCATGTGCTCTATTCTATATTTGTTGTTGGGTTATTATAATGTAGTGGAAAAGGACTAAAGCATGGGACCAAGACATAACAAGTTGTGCCAAAAGAAATTGATTAAGTTCAACTGTTATCAATCCAACTTACCTGAGAAACTTACTCCTCTTAATTATACAACCAAAACTAATAAAAATTAATGGGAGGTAGGGGTGATAATGGAGCGGCGTGGGTTCGAATAATTTTTTTTAGAAAATATATGGAAATTGGTTACGGGTTATAGAATTAATAAGTTTAAATTAAACTATTTTATTATAATTAAAAGCATTTTTTTTCTCCTCTCTTTGTACTCGATAGCAAATCTTTTTAAAAAATATATATATATATTATTTGGATTAACTAAAAAAAAAATGGAATCACGTGTCTTTTCATTTTTTTAATTTAACTTGAAAGAATCCGAGGAAAAAAAATAGAGACTGAAAAACATGACAAATGATAATAATATAGACAGGTTCATGCAAGGTGTGAAAACAACAAATTGTGTTATTTGAAGCGAGGTGGGTTGAAATCCTTGCGGGTTTACAGGATCATGGTGGTTGGGAAGGAGAGGATTTAATGTTTTTTGGTACGAGATGTTAGAGAAAATACTTTACATATAATATATAATACATAAATTTTATCATGGCAAATTTATATATTATTAATATCTGCATAATTCTAACCAACTACTAAACGACACTTAATGTGTAATTTGCAAACAAGAACGATGAGTGATTTCTGTCTCTTTTGCTAGTGGTACAATCTACAGCAAAACTGTCATTTTTTCTCTTTTTTAAAAGTAAGATTTTTCATTCAAACAAAAAAACAATGATAAATTGAAGCAATTCATTACTTTCTCTATTGGATAATTGAACCAAGAGAGGAAGGATACTTATTATGGGTGGGGACTCGAAAATAAAAGAGCTTGAAATGATAAATTTCTACACAACTTATTAGGACGTTAAAAGAGACCTATCATATCACGAATATGTTTACTCTATATTTTTTAAAATATTCTTTTTATTTGTTAAAAGAGAAACCGTTCTTGTAGATGAATTTATCAGTATTTTATAGTTTTAAATAAGACATTTTTTCTTTCTTATTCTTACTAGAGATAAGGATAAGACATCTAGTGGTGGAGATTTTTCTAACTATAGGCTATGTTTGATCATTCGTTACTATGTTTGTATAGTTGGCAATCATAGGAAAAAGGGAAGAGAGATAAATATATCTCTCAACTTTGTGATTTAGAATAAATATACCTTTTATTAAAAAATGATACATACATACACACACACATATATATACTAGATATGGGACCCCGTGCCAGCACGGGGCCCAATATATGTTATTGTTTCTGTTTTAATTTATGTGGTGCATATGAAATTTGAAGTTAATCAATTTTTTAGTATGTTTTTACATATTTTAAGTTGCTAATTATTTTTACTTAGAGTATGATTTACGTAAATATATTATAAATCACAATAATTAACAAGTTAATATAAAAAAAAAAACTTATAAAAAATTCATTGACTTTTGAAATTTCATTTGTATCACATAAATCAGGACCGAGTAATATATATGAAAATTACATAAAACGTACTATAACTCACAATAATTAGCAACTTAAAATATCTATATATCTATATTTCTCCAAAATTATGCGGCATAGATGAAATTTCGAAAGTTAACAAAAACTGTTTATATGTTTTGAAATATTTTAAGCTATTAATTATTATGATTTATAATACTTTTTACATAAAAAAATTATTTATATAAAGTATAAAAGAGAAAATTTAGAAAAAGGAAACATAAATGTCAGCAGGAGTCCAATCTATGTTAATTTCTATGTTTTAATTATTGTAATACCGATTGAATCTGGAGAGCCAACTAAAAAATTTTAAAGGTTTTTTTTTATAAATTTTAAGTTGTTAATTATTATAATTTATAATATTTTTATTAATTTTAAACCAATATATGTTTTTCTCTGTCTCAATTACATGAGACATATGGAATTCGGAGAGTCAACTAAAATTTTAAAATATGTTGAGTTGTTAATTATTATACCTTATAGTACTATTACGTGATTTTCAAATAAAATATGTAATTTTTTTATTTCAATTTATATGTCATTGATATAATTACATATATTAAGTAATGAAGAATTAATGTGTAAATTATGTGACACCTATGAATTTTGGAGTGTAAATCAAATTAGTTATATGAATTTGTTTTAAAAAGCGGTTAATTATTATAATTTATAATACTTTTTATATATTTTTTAAATGATATATATATATCTTTATGATATTGATATTAGTATTATAATAAATTAAATTTTATTATTTTAAATTTATGATCTCAATTGTCAGCCTATGCCACATTATAAAATGTTCCAAAGTAGATATCAGATTTACAAAAATGTCGATGTCAGCTACAGTAATAAAATAACCTCTAAGGGCCTGAACCTATATATGTTTATATAAAGCTGAATATTGACAATTTGATGTGGCATCTCTCTATGACCAGTATTTGTATTCATCTTTTTTTTCCTTTTTTTGACATTTTATCTTGTTTTGTATTTTTTATTTGTATTTAAAAAAAAAGTATTTATGTCATACCCGATTAATTATGCCCT